AAATTCGAAAACGGGCAGAACTTTTGAAACAACCCAATATCTCCAAAGAATTGGCCGAAAAGGTCTTTATGGCCGCGGCTCGTCCGCTCCCAGTGTCTGAGTAGACATCCATGCTTGCCGTAACGGAGAGTTTGCCCGTTAAGTGATGTAATTTGCTAGATATCGAACAAAAGTTAAATTATGATTTAGAAGAAACGAAGTTCCTTTTGGTATGAGGAAAAACAAAAGGAATTTGAGCAAAGATACAGAGGCTATGAATCTTTTGTACACATTTTTACATCATTATTTACGAATAAGAATCTAAAAAGTCATCACTTCATCTCTGCAAGTATGCTTCTGCGAATACTGTGCGAGACGATTTCTGCTGCATGAGCTGTCTCTACGTCAGCATGTGCACCTGTGCACCTGCCTCGTCTTTCTGAAAACGGTCATAGGAATTGCGTGGCGCCGGTCCGAACCTTCGCCTTCCTGCCAAAGCGTCTTGCCTGCGAGGCAGCAAATTATGGAGAATCTGTAACATTGAGATTCTCTATGGCGTTCGGCGTAAACGAAAAGGACTACCATCAAAGAAACGACAAGACGCTGGGCTTGTATAGGGTCTAGATTTATACGATTCATCAATACTTGGAGCTGAACCATCAGGCCAAAGGTCGCTTCAACCATTTGTGGAGCACTGAAGTGTTACGGGGATCGTCGTTTTTGAATTAGCCTGATATGTTATAACTTTACCCGCTCAGTTTTCGACTGAACTGCCTTTTATCCCTTGTGGTAGCTTCGCTCTCTGTATAGGGCCTAATAAGCCTGTCCTTGTCCAAAACCACCGTTTACTAAAATATGGTACTGGACGGGACCGATGATACCGAGTTGGTGGAGATCTACCGTCGTGGGTATCCAGAAACCTCTGTAAAACTTCTTGATATAGAACACCAAACTCATGATTACAAAACGGACCTTGAGCTCCAAGGAGCGAAATACTCCAGCATCGCCGAGGCGGCCTGGATATCCCACATCATAGGTCATGATGCGGTTCTCGCAGTCGCATAGAGCCAATAGGATGATGGAGTGATAGTGTTGGTAGTTATAGTATGCGCTGCCCGAGTGCTTAGGCTACTAGATGGCATTTTTCAGAGATGTTAGAAGTTGCTTATGAAGTAAAACCTTTATATAGACATGTTTTCCATCAAGAAATCCTACAGCTCTTGGGTAATCAAACCTTTCCTGCGTCATCTCTGCAACCTGCCTCAGTTTACCGCGTGTCAGGCGGGGAAAAGCTCGTCTATGCAGCACTGAGTTTCTGAAATTGTTAAAGCATTGAAATCTTCAAGCCTATACCAATTAGAATTGCCTCGGTAACCTCCTTTACTAAAGCTGCAGCCGTCGCCCAATTCCAATGTCTAAAGCAAATGCAA